TGGATGGCCAAAGGTGCAACTTTGTCATAGATTCTGCATCTCAGCAAACCCTTGTGAGTATCAAGGTGATGGGAAAGTGACGACTTGGCAAACAGTTATACCGAGAAAGTTACGGGAAGTTGTGCTGCGTCAACCGCATGATAGTTTAACAGGAGGACATCTCGGAGTTAAGAAAACATTGAGTCACCTACAACAGAGATTTTACTGGATTGGTATGAGGCAAGATGTGGAAGAATCGTGCAGGACGTGCAGTACATGTTGTGCTAAAAGGGGAAGTGCTCCTATGAAGTTATATCAAGTTGGCGCACCAATTGAAAGAGTAGCCGTTGACATTGCTGGTCCTCTGCCCCAAACTCCTGCTGGAAACAGGTACATTTGTGTGGTGATGGATTATTTCACCAAGTGGCCTGAATCATATGCAATACCAAATCAGGGAGCTACAACTGTAGCTTCGGCTATTAGTGATTTCTTCTTCAGATTTGGTATGCCATATGAACTGCATTCAGATCAAAACCGTAACTTTGAATCAACTGTGTTCCATGAATGCTGCAAGTTGTTTGGCATACGAAAGACCAGGACAACGTCACTTCACCCAGAGTCTGATGGGATGGTAGAAAAGTACAATTGGGCACTGGGACAGGAATTGGCAAAGTTTTGTTATATCTGCCAAGATGACTGAGATGTCTTACTCCTTCCACTGTTGATGTCCTATAGGACAGCAGAGATGAGATTCTAGGACGATCGAGGAACATCACGAATAATCCAGTATTTGCTAGGCGCCCTCTATTCTTGTATATAAGTTCGCCAGATAAAGTGAGTCAATGAATCGGAATTAGAATTGTATAGCAGACATAGAGATTGAAGATATAGACGGACAATTGAGTCAAGCACGGTAGTAAGTATAGTGCGTGAATCATCGTTGAGAATTATAGCGTGTGTTGAAGTGACTGTGGAAATTAAGTTTATTGCAAAGTTGTATTGAGAAAGAATAAACTAGTTTTATTTAAGAAACGACCTCTATCGCCGAAGTTTCTCGGGAAGAATTTTTACCGGAAATTATCAAACGAGCAGAGACGTAACATGTACAGCAAATGTACAACGTTTCGACAAGATTTTGTCATCATTAGTTTTCTTCATTACCCATTCAAGCCGTCTCCAAGCGTTATTAGTCTCAAAGTGGTTTCCTCGTCATCGAAAAATATACTAAAGTCCTTGTATGATATCCCACCATTTTAGATTACATATTTCAATGACTATTTCTATTATTTCAAATCCTGTATGTACTATTACGTATCTGCTCGTTTGATAATTTCCGTAAAAATTCTTTCCGAGAAACTTCAGCAATACGAGTTCTTTCTTAATTAAAACTAGTTTATTCTTTCGCGTTACAGACTTTGTAATACACTTAATTTCCAGAGTCACTTTAAAGTTAACTACTTTTATAAACACCCGCTATAATTCACAACGATTCACGCACTTTACTTACGGTGCCTGCAGCTCGCTTGACTCAATTATCTATCTCTATATCTGTCTATCTGCAATTATATCTCCGCTTTATTTGCCTGGCTTATATACTAAAATAGAGGGCGCCTAGAAAAGACTAGAGTTGCCAGGAACAGTCATGATCCTTCTAGAAACTCCAGTGCGCATGCTTCCAGCGTCACGTGACTTCCGCTGTCGTAACAATACATATTCAAGAAGAGAACAACCCCGACCCAAACTAACATATACAAACCTCTGTACCTCTCCTCAATTTCGGAATAGACTCAAGGGAGCAACGAAGGAGAAGTATTAAGAAGCAAGTGTAAGCTCTTTGAATTGATCACTGTGATATTGAAAATTAATACAAGTTTACCGCTATTCGTATACTGTTTACACGGGCGTCAGCTTAATGCAGAACACCTGCAGAAAACATTTGATAACTATACGTAACTATGTCTGAAAAATATGTATTGTTTTCACGCTCA